CTCACATTGTGACCACAGTATGAGCACAAAGTGAGTGTGCAGTGACCTCACATTGTGACCACAGTGTGAGCGAACAGTGAGTGTGCAGTGACCTCACATTGTGACCACAGTGAGTATGCAGTGACCTCACATTGTGACCACAGTATGAGCGCACAGTGAGTGTGCAGTGACCTCACATTGTGACCACAGTATGAGGGCATAGTGAGTGTGCAGTGACCTCACATTGTGACCACAGTATGAGCGCACAGTGAGTGTGCAGTGACCTCACATTGTGACCACAGTATGAGCGCACAGTGAGTGTGCAGTGACCTCACATTGGGAGCATAGTATGAGCACACAGAGAGTGTGCAGTGACCTCACATTGGGAGCATAGTATGAGCACACAGTGAGTGCGCTGTGTGGTTACACTTTTAGCTCTTTGTGACACACACATTGTGACCACACCATGAGAATCGTGTGAGCTCATGGTGACATCATTGTGAGATCAAATTGTTGACTGGGTTATGGCCAAAGTTTCAGCCATCATTAACGCTAGACCTCTCATTCCTGTATCAACCGACCCACAATCTCCATTTATCTTGACTCCAGCAATGTTGCTTACTCAGAAAGGGGCAGTCCCATTTCCACCAGGGGAGTTTAGTGACAGGGACCTTCTTCACAATCAGTGGAGACAATTACAGGCCCTTGCCAATGAGTTCTGTCTCTGGAGGGTTGGTAGGAACTCCCTTTTCCATCTGAGTCACAGAAAGTGGAATGAAGTGCGTCGCAACTTGCAAGAAGGCGAAATTGTCTTATTGAAGGATAACCAAGCTGCTCGTAATGTATGGCCAATGGCAGTGGTCACTTCTGCTATTCATAGCCAAGATGGAAAAGTACGAACAGTTAATCTAAGGACCACTGCTCAAGGTACTCCAAAGACCTTTTACAAGGCCTATTACAAAGGTCGTCCTACTTTTACCCTCAACGGGTTAAAGGTTTATGCTAAATTGTAGCAATATGGACAGTGGTGTCATAAACACCAAGCGGGGAGTGTTCTGCCCTTTGAGTATTATCTTGTTAAAGTAATTAGGACCTCTAGCGGTCAGTTACAGTATTGAGGCCTGAATCAGGAAGTTATTTTAAGAGTCAAAGCATGGTGAAGATTGTTCCAGCTGCAATAATCCTTTGTTGCGTTCTGAATTCTCATGAGCAAAAACTGCCTGTAAGTGATTTATATTTTCTATGTTACAGTATTTCTAACAATAGATTTGTGGCAAATTCATGTTGATATAAAATAAAATCTTTGTTTAATTCATGACTGTTTGTTTACCCAGATAATATGTTTAGTTGTAATTAGGGGTTCAAGCACGAAGTGCTGACTTAAAATGCTTGAACCCCGGCAATTGCTGCTTGCAGCTATATTTACATGTTATTATTGTACAAGCTACAATTCCATTTTAGCGTATCTTTTTTGTTGTTGTTTATTTTCAGTTTCACACCTTTGTTCATGTCTACATGCTCAACAAGAGTCTCTATTAAATGGAGCTAAAAAGCTATATCCTGACTCTCATGTTATTCATGAAGGGAGTTTGGCTGGCTGTCTAATCTTGGTTAAGAACACCAATTGGAGGACAGTACACTCGATAATGTCATAATGTCTCACAAGTTCAGTATGTGCGCTAAACCTGAGCAGATTTGGCTTGCATGAACTTCCCCAAGAAATAAATCAGTGAACATAACTTACGAAAAGTAACCCGCCAAATTGGCTAGTTATTACCACGCCAGAGCGTTACCCGCCACAGCTGATTTTTACCCGCTTTCGGCGGGTTGGCGAGTGTTAAAGGTGCTATATGATGCTGCTAAAAAGAACATTATTTTGTGTATTTGGTGTAATGAAATGTGTTTATGCGGTTTAAGGTTCAAAAAACACATTATTTTCCACATACTGTACATTATTGTTTCTCCTCTATGCCCCGCCTTTCTGAAACGCGTTGATTTTTACAAAGCTCATCGGTCTGAAAAGGCGAGGTGTGCTGTGATTGGCCAGCTGTCCAGTGCGTTGTGATTGGCCGAATACCTCAAGCGTGTGACGGAAATGTTACGCCCCTTACCATATTGTGATCTATGATCTATGATCACGGCCGGAGCGACGAGACAAAAACATGAAAACCCATTATAAACGAGGCATTCGTTGCATCCAGTGGGGACATAATTATGGATTATAATGACTTATACTGTCTTTTTACACGTTGCGTTGCATCGCGCCGCATAAACATAAAACCATGTCTGCACTTGTGATTGGAGAAATAACAAACAACAAGCCCTACTCTACACTGCCCAAAAAAACTCGCTTTAAATATATAAAATATAAAAACTCTTTCAAATATAAAAAACAGAGTCAGAACAGCTGGCATTGTAGTCTACTCTACCAGGATCAGTAAACAGTCCTCCATAAAATGTGCTGGACACATCTGAATATTTGGGTTGAAATGTTCTGGAACAGTGTTGTAAATACAACTTAACCACTGATTTCTAGTCGTGTCCATTTTTGGAAGGTTAAACAAAGTAGTTTCGCTTTCACAACGAAACACCGCGTCACACACGGTGGCCTAGAGTGGGCGGCGGCGGCCTAGAGTGAGCAGAGGCGGCGGATTCGACGAAGGAGTGTCCGGCGGGCTTGCGGCAACCACATGTGACGACTCCGGGCTGGACTCTGCTTCGTCATGCCTGGAGCTGATATCGTCCTCTTTTGGAAGACCAAACAAAGTAGTTTAGCTTTCACAACGAAACACACAGTGCCTTCACGACATGGCGGTGGTGGCAACAACATTACTACAGCGAGAATAAAAGTTATGCCTTCTTTCTTTGCATGAACATTTGGGCGGCGTTATGCAAATCTTCCCAGATCGTGACGTAGACGTGTGGGGGCGTGTTAGAACGAGGCGTTTTAGGTAGGTGTGGCTGACTCTTAACTTTTATAAAGAATATCTCTTTGGATTTGAGACTTTAGTCTTTGCAACTTTACAGATCTTCTTTATGCACCAAGAGCTTGTAACACTCCAAAGAGAAAGGAAACATTTTTATTGCATATGACCCCTTTAATTTCAAACCCTCAATGCAATACAGTACAATTATGACTGAGAGATGTACAAATAAACATTCTTCAAAAGCCTGATGATCATATTTGATACTCCCAGTCAGAATGGAACATGATTGTTAAAAAAAAAAAAAAGACATCTGGATATTCGAGTAAACCTAAGTTGATTCAGTCCAGTACGTGTTTGTCTGTAAGTGTTATTGCTAATATAGATTTCATAACCTGAAGGTGGAGAATTTTACCAATTCACCAAAATATATTTTACTGGCTTAAATAAATGCATAAACTATCAGTCGGACAACAGAAGGCATATACTAAATTGTTAATTATCATCAATAATAATCACCTTAGAAATCTGTCTCTTATGATTCACATGCACAGGAGGGGTTGATACTACTTTTTGGTATTTGTTTGGCAGTTTTGTGTTCATAATGTTCAGTCATAATGTCAATTTTGAATAAATAAATGCTGCACATTTGCTTATGATGCAAAGATCCATTCCTTTATGAACACACACATGATTTGATCACAGTGTATTACATTTTAAACTGGTTATGGTGGTGTAAGTCACTTTGAATTAAAAGCATCTGCTAACTCATAAGTGTTTACATTTAGCAATAGACAATTCCAATAAGGAAAGAAAACAATCATTATTCAGTTTTAGGTAGAACATTTTGCTCATAGTAACCAGCGTTGGTTATATTTCCAGCAGGTTTGTACTGACCAACAACAAAAACTGTGTTTCCATCAGTAGCCAGACCTACTCCGAGCTCTGTGGATGATTTCCACACAACCTGAGTGAAATGCCCTGCAAATATATAAAATATATATTTGTATATAAAACTAGATAGAATTAAAGTAAGCCAATAATAAATGTAAATTTATAACATCATTGTAATGTCATATATTCAAATTAAAAAATGTATTCCCAAAATTATTATTACCTGTTTTGGGCTGATTTCCTGGTGTGTTAAAGCTGTAATCCTTGATCTCACTGTACCAACTGTCTACAGCCTCCTTCCCTAAAATATACAAAGCAACAAATATTTTCAGTGTGATGCGCTCAGTGCTGCATCCACAATTGTACTTTTATATAAAAAAATCACTATGACAGTAATGTGTGCATAAAATCTGTGTACAAATGAATCATGATTCACTAACAACTTTCGTACTAAAATTTTAAATTTACCAGAAAATGTAGGAACAACTAAAACACCACCTACGCAAAATCACATACTCTTGGTGACTTTATAGTCGTGTTAAGAATAAATTATATACATAAATATATTTCATATACAGGGAAAGAGTAAGAAAGGCTGCATTATAGCTCGATCTGAGATGTTTCTATGTATGACAAGACCAGTTTTGTAGATGGCACAGTTGGCATTGCTCAAGGATCTCTATTATTATTATTATTATTATTATTATTATTATTTATGATTAGTTGCCAAAGTATTTGTATTGCAAAGCAAAGAGCCCACTTTTTATCTATATGATACTTCCTAGTAAAATAAATAAATGAATAATGTTCTTTACTTATCAAAATATCATTCTGAAAATAAAATTAAAAATAAAAAAATCACATCAAATACACAAATCTCTATCGCACATCAGTTTTTTTATTAATATAAATTTTTTAATCTTTCCAAAATAACCCTTGTGTAGATACACTCTTAAAAATAAAGGTGCTTCAAAAGGTTCTTCAAGCGATGCCATAGAAGAACAATTTTTGGTTCCACAAAGAACCATTCAGTCAAAGGTTCTTTAAAGAACCATCTCTTTCTTACATTTTTATAATCTGAAGAACCTTCTTTCGCCACAAACAACCTTTTGTGAAACAGAAAGGTTCTTCAGATGTTAAAGGTTCTTTATGGAACCATTTAGACGAAAAGGTTCTTCTATGGCATCGTGAAGCACCTTTATTTTTAAGAGTGTACAGTGCTCGAGGATACAGCGCATCTGAAAATCATAAAAAGCATCATAAAATTACGAAAGGCTGTGTGGAAAGCCTTTATATGGAGTTGGTTTGGGTATGTTTTATGCAAATGACTAGCCTTGGGCAAACGCCCACTTATTTAGAATACCCCAATTTCTCGCACATTTAGAAGAAGGTTATGAACAAATTAATATGTGTAGAAGAACGTGTTGTGAATTAGGTGCGATTTTATTTATTTATTATTATTTTTTGTGCGTACAAGTATTAAAAAAATCCACAAATTTATTTATTTTATTTTTTTTTTGTGAATGAAGCACACTGAGTCTATACCTTGTCACTCTTAATCAATTTGCAGACGCTGTACGTAATTATTAAGCAGCAGATTTTACCTGTGGGTGTGTTTTTGTCAGAGTTATAGGAATAAAACACATTCTCCCCATTATCCGTGTCACTGTGGGCCAGTGCTTTGTTGCTCAGCATATGATCCGCCCACTTGTGAGCAGCACTGCACAGCTCATCACTGTATGTCAGCTCTGGGGCTTGATGCTGCTTCCTGTACTGGTTATGGGCCTCCAGGAACTCCTGTTTAAAGCTTTCATCTGGGGAGAATCATACGAACACCAGCCCTTTATTCATAGATTAAAACTAGAAAACAAATCAAAGTTGAAAACGTGCCCAAACTTTTCAGTAAATTTACAGAAGGTCAAATCAAGTCACACCTATAGTGCTTTATACAATACAGATTGTATCAGCAGCTTCACAGTGATACAGAAGAAAATAAAGTGTTGCAAAGTTCAATTATGAAAGAAGTACACACAATTTCAGCTATAAAAGTTTTGTTCAATTTTGATTCCCTTTAGTTTAATAACTGTCAATGTTGTGAAGTTCTTTAGATATGACGCAAACTCAGTTTAACTCTATAAAGCAGCTCTAAGGAAGCTAATAGGGTCAATATTCAGCTCAAGTCAGTTCAGCGTTGATTCAGTTTAGTTCACAAATAATGCAACGTTCACTAAATTATAAAACTAGCCTAATTCAGTGAAAATCAGCTCTACAGAAGGCAATAGTGTTATTCGGTTCGGCACTGATTCAATTAAATTTATTCAAAACAGTGTTGATGTTGCAGAGTTCATCAATTATGAATCAAATTAAATTCAGGTATGTAAAGCAGCTCTACAAAAGACAATAGTGTCATAGCTCCGTTTCAAGTTCTGTTGTCATCCAATAGTGGCAGTGTAGTCAATCTGATAATATTACTGAATATTAAGTGTCTTTTAAACACTAAGGTCACTGAATGAAGATCTATCCAGAGTATAGATTTATCCAGTCACTTTACTTTTGTTTTGGCATTAAATCAGCATTTGGAAAACATTCAATATTAAAATTCCTGCTTACAATTAATATAGAAATGCATATTTCACATAGGTAAGCACATAAGACCCACCTGCCATTGCTTCCAAAGTAAGCTGTAAAGAACAAAGATAATTATTATTATTATTAATATTCACATTATAGCGAACATTTTCATTTTATAATCTAAATGTGGCGCTTAATTTCATTTTACCTTCTCTTTGAGCTGTAAGGATGTTGTTCACCCACTCAGGCTTCAGCTGGTAGTTTAAAGCTCTGCACACAGATGAGGTGTATATATACTGTTGCCGTTATCTCCTACTCCGCCTCCACCTCCATAGACTGACATTCCTCAACTCCATCTTTTTCATTTAATCTGAGGGTGAAACTGGTCCCACTAGTTGAGGAGCGAAAGTATTGTCCATCAGTTTGATTCCCTGGAAGTGTGTGTGTGTGTGTGTGTTAAAAAATAGAACATTTAATATATTTTTAAAAGTATTTTTCATCAGTCTCTAAACTAAAGATTAGCTTCTTTTTACATTTATTTAGAGTTACATTTATGCATTTGGCAGGCACTTTTGTTTAATGTTCAAGGTAAACATTTTATTTATGAATTTAACCTATAACTTTAGCATTACTAGTGTCATGCTCTAATGTTTGAGCTACATTAATAATAATTTTATTAATAGTTAATGCCCCAATTTTTCTCATCTGTAATATTTTCAGTTATAATTCTCTTTCTCATTAGCACAATAAATGTTGTACTATTTCACTTGATAAGTTTTTATCATGATCAGGATAAGTTTCAATTTTAATTTTGATAATGTTTTGATTTTGCATGGTGTGCTTAGGTTTCATGAAATGAATAATAATGCAAAAAGAAACCCTAACGGTCTTAAAGTTATTTAGTTTTCTTTCATTAAGCATAATCATTTAAGTATACTTTTCTTTGTTTTTGAGGTGAAATTACAGAAAGATTCAGCTGTTTAGCTTTAGTGTAATAGGTAAATGCTGTCTCACTAGTTTTTGGATCAATTCTATTTGTTCAATTATTCTTATAGATAGATTGTCCTGTATCGTGTAACAAAATATCCCCTGTTCATTTCAGTAAGACTCAGATTTGAATGTTAGACATTGGGTGTTTTAGTATTTGGGTTTTAAGCTCAGGTTTTAAAATCACATTCCTCTGCAGTTAATTGCCTGTTAAAATAATAGCTGAAAGGCATTCTAGTCTTGCAAGTGACTTTACAAGTTGCTCCCATTAACTAGTAAAACAGGCAAGAGCTGAAAAGACACAAACTCATTAGGTGGCAGATATATAATTTCTGTCTGGGACCTGTGAGGAAAGTACTTTTAACTTTACATTTTTACATCGACTTTAAACTCGACATTCAAGTCCCCAGAGGGATTAAATAAAAGGAAATATGTAATATGAAACAAGCCCATAGAACAAACACAATCAACTTCCTTCCATGGAACACTGAATGAAATGTAGGCAAACAGACACACTGGTTTGCAGAGACATGGGTGAACTCTTTTTGTGTGAGCTGTTTCTAATCCGTATAAGATCATGAGCTGCATGAGTGTCTTTGAATTTGAATTGTCAGTCAGGCGCACACACAGATGTCAACACTTTGAGTGCAAAACTCAACAATAGTGATAACTATAATATTTACGTAGCATTTATTTATTTAGCAAATGCTGTTATACAAATGAGGAGCATCACCAACAATTTGTCATTAAGCCAACGATATTCATAGCACACAATGGTATTAAATAATTTAGATTAGTAAGTAAGCTAGCACATTACTCCCACACATCCACACAGGACTCCAGTCCATCAGTATCCTGTGAAGCAAAAAGCTGTGTGTTTGTAATAAACACTCCATCATTAATACGTTTAAACTTTAAACCATCGCTTCTGGCCAAAATACGAGTCCATAAATAATCCATAATAACACTTCCTTCAGTGAAAAAGTCCATCCCCTGTTGTTCTCACATCAAAATGCACCCACATATTTGTTTAGATCTGTTTTTGCTTGTAAAACCTTTTTGATTTATGCATATTTCTCTCCTGATTCAGACAATATTATTTTTTCACTGGGGAAAGCAATATTATGGATAGAGGACTTGTTTGAATTAGAAACATCTTAAATATGGATTTTTTTTTTTTTTTTTTACAGATATGCAGCTTTTCACTTCACAAGACATTAATTGATGGATTGGAGTCGTGATGTGGATTGCTTGTGGATTATTCAACCCGATCTCATGAAAGTGCGTATAAATAGTTACGCCAAATAAAAACGAAAACCCGTGGTATTGATACGCAAAAATGGACTTTGGTGTGTATATGCTACACGATGGGTAGGTTTAGGGTTGTGGGGTAGATGCGTATCATATGTACACGAAACCTGTGTATCATATGCACGCCAATAATTTTCTTATCATATGCACGTGAAAACTGCGTATCATATGCACGCCAAAGTCCGTTTTTGCGTATCAATACCACAAGTTTTCGTTTTTATTTGGCGTACTGTTTATATGCATTTTTATGAGACTGGGCTCGGATTATTGTGATGTTTTTATCAGCTGTTTGGACTCTCATTCTGATGGCACCCATTCACTGCAGAGGATCCATTAGTGAGCAAGTGATGTAATGCTACATTTCTCCAAATCTGTTTCCATGAAGAAACAAACTCATCTACAACTTGGATGGCCTTAGGGTGAGTAATTTTTATTTTTGAGCAAACTATTCCTTTAATAATTAGAGAATGTAAACAATTCAAGATTAATGTTTTTGTGTGAGTATTTGTTCCTAACATGCAATGAAAGAAACCCCATTCCATGTAAATTATTGCCTAAAATACTAAGTAAACTGTTTCGGTGTGTACTCCGGCCTGATACACTGGAAAACAGATGGCTTCGTGTGATAAAGAACACTGTAACTTTGTTTTTTGAAACAACTGACATCCTAAACGATGACCAGAATGCTCTCTGATTACAGCTCAGGAGCTCGAGGTAAGGCGTGTTATTTGAGAACTGTGTCTTTTTATCTGCAGATGGTGGAACGGAAGCCCCTATAGTCAAAAACAAGCTAAACAAACCATTTTACTGATGCGATGTGCAACGTGTTGGTGCCGTGTTCTTGTAAATTCTCATCCTTTACGGTTTTGTTTGATGACCACTGCGTGTCAATTTACCATTTACCAAGTTAAGAGTGTTTTACCATTCCTTCAGGGTCAGAGTGCATTACATTACTGCCTGATCAAAAAGGGCTCTCTGTAACACGTTTTTTGTCATAATCACCTCCTTCTGTGTTCAGAGTTAGATCTGAGTACATAAATTTGTGGAAACTGTAAGAGACATACATTTGCAATGAAGGAATTGTTGACCCAAAAATAATAATAATGATAAAAAAAAAAGCTAAAAATGTACTCGCCCTCAAGTCAATCAGTTTTTCTTCATCAGAACAGATTTAGAGAAATGTAGCTTTACATCACTTGGTCACCAGTGGATCCTCTGCAGTGAATGGGTGCCGTCAGAATGAGAGTACAAACAGCTGATAAAACATCACAATCCACATGACTCCAGTTCATCAATTAACATCTTGTGAAGTGAAAAGCTGCACGTTTGTAATAAACCAATCCATAATTAAGTCGTTTTTAACTTAAATGAGTCCTGTATTCATTATATTGCTTTCTCCAGTTAAAAAAAAGTCATCTCATATTGTCTCTTGTGATACATGTTCCACTGATGTATTTCTACAGTATATGCATCAGTCTGAAAATCTGAGCATGTAAAAACTCACTGCAGTTTTATGATAGCATTTTTTTTTCACACATGGTGTTTTTTTTTTTTTCTTCTGATCAGTTCTCTTAACAGTCATGAAATATAAGCTGATATTTCTTCCAAGTTTGCATTTGTAAGATTAAAAACAACACTTTCTGAAATGAAGTCTAACTGCAAGTATTTCTAGTTTTTGGATATCTGACTTGCCTGCCGCCAATGCCAGTCTAGTTTAGCTCATGCCCTTTGGCAAACAGGAATGTATTCCTGTGAACATGGACAGGCTTAACAGGACACAATGGTTAATGCAGGTGCAATTCGAGTTGGATGCTAAACAAGATCAGATATTATATTATTGCAGTGGACTGATTTATGATGATGTTGTTGTTGTTGCAACTGGTCCAATAGGTTTTTTTCTTTCATCTATTCAGTTTTCTTTTCTTGTTTGGTCTTTTCAGACGTCATATTTCTGGTACACATGATCTGTATCTATGTAGGCCTATGTTACAGATTTGCATCTTATCTCAGTAACAAGACATATAGAAAGTAAAAGAAGAAATTCTACTGAACTGATAAATTAACTTCTTTTCTCACCATTCACTTGAGGTCTTGGCAGTTTCTCCAATTATTTTTTGTGTGGAAACTCTTTGAAATAGAAGCTGTCTGATTGGATTGTCCTGTAATGATCATATGAAGAGTGACCACTGAGGGGCAGCACATCACCATCAACTACCACAGCCGGACCATAAAGGTCCATGTTTTGGATCAACATCCTGGACAATGTGCCTATCAACCAATTCGATTTTAAGGCTATTAATGCTATAAATGCTTCCAGGTATTTCATACTGTTTAAACCATGCTGACGGAACAATAAGCAGTCATTATAATCTTTATAGTAATTTTTCAACTTTTTAATTTATGTTGATCATTAATGGAACATGTCAGTTATAGTTAAAAGAATCAAAACTAAAACTATAAAAATCAAAACATTGTTGTTGCTTGAAATAAAATAAATGTTAACTGGAGAAAAAAAAACTTTTTCTGCTAGTTATTTAGTCGATGAACGATGAAGTCAAAATTGATTAAAAAATTTGACATTTTATAAAAATAATTATATATATGACAAAAACACACAACCTTAAAATTAAAATATAAAAAAAATATTCCAAATGTTGTAGTATTTAATATAAGTTAAAAATGAACAGCACATCCCTTAACTTATCCAGAACTTTGGTTCATTTTGGTCATGTCCTATTGTCCAGGGTGGTCTGAATGCTTGATCACTAATTACACATCAAGGATAAACCAAAAGGCA